GCAACCGGTTTAAGGGTGAACAAAACCAATGATGCAGAAATAATTGTTTCAATGGAAATCCAGAAGAAAAGGTGGAAGGAAATATTGTACAGGTTGCTCGACATTACACTGTTTCTGGCTAAACAGAACTTAGTATTTCGCGGCCACAGCGAGGATGAATTCTCATCAAATAGAGGAAACTTTCTTGAGATAGTTGAATTAATAGCTAAGTATGATCCTGTGCTAAAAGAGCACCTAATGAGACTGAAGTGCAGCTCAAGTGAACACAGGTCATCAGTTTCGTATCTTTCACCATCAACTCAAAATGAGTTTTTAAGTGTTCTGGCAAACCGAGTCAAAGAGAAACTTGTTACTGATATCAAGAGAGCTGTATACTACAGCGTTATGTTTGACAGTGGTCAGCATTCTTTTGCTGAGAATTCATCATAAAAAGGACCTGCCTAGTATGGGCCAACAGGCCTGCTGCAGTGTTCCTCCTTTCTTATGCTCTTATGTTCTATGTAAAAATTTTTGGCAGTCTTGAGTCAGCATATACATTCTTTGCCTCCTCCACCCATTGATGGGATGTATTAATGGACCATACTGCAGTCTCTTTCAAAAGATTATCAACAACAAGATGGAGTTATCATTACAGTGCAGTGAAACCAGTAGCGGAATCTTTCGAGAAATTTGTGGTAGCAATTGAAGCTCTTTGCAATCCACGGGAAAATTTGGATACAAGAGGAGCAGCACAAGGTCTACTCCCTGCTGTGTGCAATTTCACATTTCTGTGTTATCTGTATTTCTGGTGTGACATACTTCGGGAGGTTCTGCTTGCCCAGCAGTACTTGCAGACTAAGGATTTAACTCTTGAAAAAGTGGTGGTGAAGCTAGAGGCACTGCGATTATTTTTGAATAAAGGGCAAGATCGCATAGTGGAAAATTCAATACAACAGGCACTTTTGAAATGTGAGAAGTATGGATTTCCAACAGAGAGAAGAATCAGGTTAAAGAAAAGGATGGCAGGGGAGCAGGCAAGGGATTCTGGACTCATTCTACAGGTAGAAAACAAGATGGCGATGTTGGAGTGCACTGATCGTTTTCATAATGAACTCAAGATACGATCAAAAGCAATCAAGGATGTGGCAGCCATGTTTGTGGTCATTCAAACAAAGAATCTTATACAAGCTACTGAAGAAGAATTGGAGGTGATGGCTTCAAGACTCACAGTGTTCTATAATGAAATATACAAGAATGAGCTCATGCTTGATATACCAAGACTAAGGAGGCACCTGTAAGCTGCTGATGTTGATCTTGAAAAAGTTAATCACTGGACTACACTGGATGTACTAACATTCACAGCTGAATGGGATTTCATTGAATCTCTTCCAACTCTGACACTCTGCCTGAGGTTGTTCCTTACTTTATGCGTTTCTGTGGCTTCTTGTGAAAGGAGTTTCTCCAAGTTGAAGCTGATTAAAAACTATTTACGGTCCACAATGAGTCGATCCAGAATCTTTGACATAGCAATGTTATCCATAGAAAATGGGTCAGTTGACTGCATTGATTTCGATGAAGTGATAGATGATTTTGAAGGATTGAAGGCAAGGAAATGTATGATCTAATTCACTGAGATGTTACCTGTACTCAAGGTCAAATCGGAACTAGTATTTCTCTGATATTGCAATGTTTATCTTTATTTTTCAAGTTTTTTTTTTGGCGTTGTTGAAGAATAAATGTAGGATGTGTTAGCTGTACTCAAAGTGATATTTGAGTTTATGTTTCCTCAATATTACTACGATTATTTATTTTATCATTAATAAAGTTAAGAAGTATTTTCCTGTTCAGTTTATGGCCTTAAACATTCTCATTGTTAAACATTTGTCACTGGTCATGCAGTAGTGACGTAACTGGAGTTTAATCCCCCCTCCCCCCATCCCCCCGCCCTTGGATTTCATGGGGGTGACACCAAAGATGCCGCCCTGGGTGACACCAACCCTAGCGATGCCTATGGTTTGGGAAGCGATGTGGTGGAGGCAGGATCTATACATAGCAGTAAGCAGAGGTATGATAAAGCTCACAGTTCAGGGATAGTGACCTAGTAGCGACCAGTGAAGAGACGGGGCCAGGAGCTTGGACTCAACCCTTGCAACCTCAACTAGGTGAGTACAACTAGGTGAGTACACACACACACACCAGTTTGGAATCCACATCTGGTCAAGCATGTCAAGAAATTAGAGAAAGTGCAAAGGTTTGCAACAAGACTAGTCCCAGAGCTAAGGGGAATGTCCTACGAAGAAAGGTTAATCGAAATCGGCCTGACGACACGGGAGGACAGGAGGGTGAGAGGAGACATGATAATGACATATAAAATACTGCATGGAATAGACAAGGTGGACAAAGACAGGATGTTCCAGGGAGGGGACACAGAAACAAGAGGTCACAATTGGAAGTTGAAGACTTAGACGAGTCAAAGGAATGTTACGAAGTATTTCTTCAGTCATGGAGTTGTCAGGCAGTGGAATAGCCTAAGGAGGCGGGAACCATACGTAGTTTTAAGACGAGATTTAATAAAGCTTATGGAGCAGGGAGAGAGAGGACCCAGTAGCAATCAGTGAAGAGGCAGGGGCCAGGAGCTATGAATTGACCCCTGCAACCACAAATAGGCAAGTACACACACACAAAAAAAACACTGCAGCCTACATGCCATAATTTCTGTCCTGGAAGCTTTGTCACTCCAATGCATGTGTGAAGAGGTCAGGTGTGGAAGGCGTCAAGGTCGATGATGTGTTTATTAGGTCCTCTTAACATGACTTCAATCTAGGGTGGCACCAACTTGGCCAACACACATGAAATATTGACACTGCCAGATTTCTGGACTATAGTGATTAGAAATGGTAATCAGTGCAGCCTCAAGGCAGTGTCTTTTATTCAAAATGGGTTCATTGATTACTTGTCTAACTTCTTGCTGTTTCAGATGGGCATGTGAAATGCAGTGAACCATGTCATCCCAGCTATAGATGTATTTTGTCTTTGAGAGCCTAATAATACTTAAAACTCTAATTTTTAAAGGATGGACTGGTAAGCCAGCAAAAGGCCTTGATCAGATGACCAAAAGCTCCAATGGCAGGTCATCATCTGACTAAGACCTGCATCAGGCATTGGCGTCGTAAGGGGGGTGCCCCGGGTGACACCATTTAGGGGGTGATACCATAGAGCCTCTGAAGAAGATGACACTAATGCATAAAACAGTGCTGCAGCAACATAAGAGAAAAATCCTTCATTTCTATATAGCCTAGATTATGATTACAGAGTACAAATAGGCCTATATAGGGAAAATCATTGATTTTGATAATGTGATAGATGATTTTGCAGGATTGAAGGCAAGGAAATATAAGATCAGATTCTTAGGCAAGACACATATGCAACAGTTAGGTATCTTTATTATGAAACGTTTCGCCTACACAGTAGGCTTCTTCAGTCAAGTACAGAAAAGTTGATAGAAGCAGAAGATACTTGAAGACGATGTAATCAGTCCATCACCCTTAAAGTTTTGAGGTGGTCAGTCCCTCAGTCTGGAGAAGAGCATTGTCCTAACAACCTGTCGGTATTTTATACCATTTTAATGTTCAAGATCAGATTCACTGAGATGTTACCTGTACTTAAGGTCAAATCGGAACTTGTGTTTCTCTGATATTGCAATGTTTTTCTTTATTTTTCAATTTTTTTTTTTTTGCATTGTTGAAGATGAATAAATGTAGGATCTGTTGCCTGTACTCAGTGATATTTGAGTTTGTTTCCTCAATATTACTACGATTATTTATTTTATCATTAATAAAGTTGAGAAGTATTCTCCTATTCAGTTTATGGCCCTTGAACGTTCTCATTGCTAAACATTAGTCATGGAATGCAGTAGTGATGTAACTGGAGTTTAATCCCCCTATCCCCCTGCCCTTGGATTTCACGGGGGTGACACCAAAGATGTCGCCCCGGGTGACACCAACCCTAGCAACGCCACTGACATCAGGAAACACTTTTCCTGTTTCCTGACAAACCTTACCTAACCTAACCTTTGAGAGACTGGCCTAGATTTCTTGCTGTTTCTCCCACATATATTTTACCACAGCCAACACACAGGATGGCAAGGACCCAGGCATTCTCATCTCTGGGTGTAGTGGTGACCTTCCTAACTGGTGATTTAACTAATAATATGAGTCCCAGGGTTTGCTTACATGAAGGTGTCTGCAGATAGATCAACTCTAATGAATAAAAAGTAGGAGAGTTAATTGAATAAATTCCAGAACAGTCTTAATTCTACTGAGTCAAGCACCCATATTATTGAAAATTCTTGAGAGATTGGTCCCAAATCTGGACACCAGAATCACTCCCTACATATGCAAGAGGCTGGGCAGTTTATTGCAAAATATGTACCCAAGATGAAAAGCAAGTGTGCCATGATCACACTCAGAAATAACTCGGTAAGTGTAAAGGGAACAAGATTTTTCAACACTCCTATCACACATAAGTAAAATTACCAGTAAACCCACTGGTTATTTTTAAGAGGGATCTTGATAAGTTCCTCAAGCTAGTTCTTTATCATCCAGGCTATAGTGAATATGTAGGAGTGCTTGTGGGTAGTACCAACAGCCTGTATGATAGGCCATCAACCAGGAGGCCTGGTCTGGGACTTGACTGCAAGGTGGTGTCCACCGGAATCATTGTCAGGTAACCTGAGTGGTTCAACGAAATCTGTTATGTACCAAGCTTGATAAAATAGAGTATTGCCAGAAGACCCATGGATATTCCCAAAAATATTGGCTAATTAAAATACACAAAAAAGTCTAAAAATTTTTAGGAAAGACCATGTTTCATCTGTTATAAAAGTACTGTACTGTACATGAAAAAATCACACATCTTTAATTGAGGCCTGTCTGTACTACATGTATTAGTCATAGTGATAATACAGTACAGTACATATTCATGTTATTTTAAAACGATAATTCTTTCTTTGCTATTTTCAGGTGAAATACGGACAACAGCAAGACGCCTAGATCGAGAGAGACAAGCTGAACATGTTCTTGAAGTTACAATTTCTGACGGGGATGATCCCTCCACTGCCCTCTCTTCCACCACCTATGTTGCCGTCAATGTCCAGGATGAGAATGATCATGCCCCTGTGTTTCTGGAAAGACTCTACAAGTTTTATGTGCCTGTCATTGCTCATCACAACCCACAGATGGATGAATCAGTTTTAGATAATGACTATATAGAAGATATGCCCATTGGGCAGGTGAGTAATGTGATGTAGTGTTAGTGTACAGTATATAACAAAATATTAAACTGAAGTTAATGCCTGGTTATACCTAAATTTTTGTATGAAATTGCAACACTACAGTAAAATCCATAGTAATATCTCCTTGATATTTCTCAGCCTCACACTGATGTGAGCTGCTTGCACTGTATATATAATTACTCGTTACCAAATATTATACATAATGTAAAAATTTACTGGATTGTATGTGCCTTCACCTACATATGACACTAAACAAAAATGCTGTATATATAATGCTTTTCTCTGGTACTAATAACTTACTTTCATTGGATATGGAGGCATGTGGGTTATTCTGTATTTGTGATGAGTTAAATGTTACTTGTCCAAGTCCTGATTTATCCAGTATCTGTCAGCTTCTCATTCTGTGTAACATAATGCTTTATTAACCTGGTGGAGGTTGGACAATTGTCTTCTGGTGCAAAGCATTGATGCTAACAGATACAGTAATTATTCCACATGTGTGCTGTGTCACCCAGGCAGCACATAGGTGGTATAAACCAAGCATGAACACCTCAAGTGCAGACCACTAATCACAATGTAACTTACCTATGTCAAACTCGGCAAGCATGATTTACCTGGAAGGATAGATTTTTCTTATTTTTTTACTCTGCTGAATTTTAGGAGTTGCATTCCTGAAGTTTGTCTGTAGCTGTTGTTTGGAGTTTGGTTCTTATTTTCCCATAGAAACAAAAAGTATAAAGGATGATTCTGTTTTACTTAAGTCAAGGAAAAGTATCTTAACTCCTCACATAACTGGTGGGGTTTGAAGCCATGGCAAGCCAATCCTAAAACTGGCAGACCACTGTGCTAACTACTGTGAATGTAATAATGGCATACAATAATGACAAGTAGATAATTAAGACACATGTGCAACAGTTAGATATCTTTATATAGCACAGTAGGATGGTAGGCTTGGGTAGGCTTGCTGCAGCAGTGCAGCATTTCTCAGTAATGTTCTTCTCCTATTGGGTGCCACTTCCTTGAAAATCATCTACATTCTCAGTGCCTCACTTCTGCACTGTACAGAGCTCCTTTCTCATGATTCTGCTTCACACGGTTTAAGACTGTGAAGTTTAACACATCTCCAGGCTGAGGGAATGATCACTTCAAAATACTACTTCAAGGATGATGGACTGACCACATCATCTTTACCTCTCTACTGCATACTACCTCTGTATTTTACTGATGAAGCTTGTTGTGTAGGCAAAATGTTTTGGAATAAAGATACCTAATTGTTAAACATGTCTTACCTAGTGAATTACTGTTCCATGTCTGCCCAGAGAGGTGAATTTCTAAATACACTAGGAACCCATTTTGCAAGGTATTTGGAAATGTCCTGTTATGATTTCACCTGCCAAAAAAAAAAAAAAAATGTATTTTTACCAGGTACAGTGGAACCTTGGCTTATGAGTGGCCCACCCTACGAGTTTTTCAGGATATGAGCAGTTGCTCGGCCATTTTTTTTTGTTTCTGGACTTGAGCAAAAATTCAGGATGCAACCTTCCCATTCAAACAGCTTTTTTTTAGAGCTCCAGATCTTACAAAAGTAAAAGTGAATATATAATAGGTAGTAGGTTGGTAGACAGCAACCACCCAGGGAAGTACTACCGTCCTGCCAGATGACTGTGAAACAAAAACCTGTAACTGTTTTGCATGATGGTAGGATTGCTGGTTTCTTTTTCTGTCTCATAAACACGCTAAGATAACAGGGATATCTTGCTACTCCTACTTACACTTTGGTCACACTTCATAGACACGCACATGCATATATATATATATACATACATCTAGGTTTTTCTCCTTTTTCTAAATAGCTCTTGTTCTTTTTATTTCTTCTATTGTCCATGGGAAGGGAAAAGAATCTTTCCTCCGTAAGCCATGCGTGTCGTATGAGGCGACTAAAATGCCGGGAGCAATGGGCTAGTAACCCCTTCTCCTGTATACAATTACTAAAAAAGAGAAGAAGAAAAACTTTATAAAACTGGGTTGCTTAAATGTGCGTGGATGTAGTGCGGATGACAAGAAACAGATGATTGCTGATGTTATGAATGAAAAGAAGTTGGATGTCCTGGCCCTAAGCGAAACAAAGCTGAAGGGGTAGGAGAGTTTCAGTGGGGGGAAATAAAATGGGATTAAATCTGGAGTATCTGAGAGAGTTAGAGCAAAGGAAGGGGTAGCAGTAATGTTAAATGATCAGTTATGGAAGGAGAAAAGAGAATATGAATGTGTAAATTCAAGAATTATGTGGATTAAAGTAAAGGTTGGATGCGAGAAGTGGGTCATAATAAGCGTGTATGCACCTGGAGAAGAGAGGAATGCAGAGGAGAGAGAGAGATTTTGGGAGATGTTAAGTGAATGTATAGGACCTTTGAACCAAGTGAGAGAGTAATTGTGGTAGGGGACTTGAATGCTAAAGTAGGAGAAACTTTTAGAGAGGGTGTGGTAGGTAAGTTTGGGGTGCCAGGTGTAAATGATAATGGGAGCCCTTTGATTGAACTTTGTATAGAAAGGGGTTTAGTTATAGGTAATACATATTTTAAGAAAAAGAGGATAAAATAAGTATACACGATATGATGTAGGGCGAAATGACAGTAGTTTGTTGGATTATGTATTGGTAGATAAAAGACTGTTGAGTAGACTTCAGGATGTACATGTTTATAGAGGGGCCACAGATATATCAGATCACTTTCTAGTTGTAGCTACACTGAGAGTAAAAGGTAGATGGGATACAAGGAGAATAGAAGCATCAGGGAAGAGAGAGGTAAAGGTTTATAAACTAAAAGAGGAGGCAGTTAGGGTAAGATATAAACAGCTAATTGGAGGATAGATGGGCTAATGAGAGCATAGGCAATGGGTCGAAGAGGTATGGGGTAGGTTTAAAAATGTAGTGTTAGAGTGTTCAGCAGAAGTTTGTGGTTACAGGAAAGTGGGTGCAGGAGGGAAGAGGAGCGATTGGTGAATGATGATGTAAAGAGAGTAGTAAGGAGAAAAAGTTAGCATATGAGAAGTTTTTACAAAGTAGAAGTGATGCAAGGGGAAGAGTATATGGAGAAAAAGAGAGAAGTTAAGAGAGTGGTGAAGCAATGTAAAAAGAGAGCAAATGAGAGAGTGGGTGAGATGTTATCAACAAATTTTGTTTGAAAATAAGAAAAAGTTTTGGAGTGAGATTAACAAGTTAAGAAAGCCTAGAGAACAAATGGATTTGTCAGTTAAAAATAGGAGAGGAGAGTTATTAAATGGAGAGTTAGAGGTATTGGGAAGATGGAAGGAATATTTTGAGGAATTGTTAAATGTTGATGAAGATAGGGAAGCTGTGATTTCGTGTATAGGGCAAGGAGGAATAACATCTTGTAGGAGTGAGGAAGAGTCAGTTGTGAGTGTGGGGGAAGTTCGTGAGGCAGTAGGTAAATGAAAGGGGGTAAGGCAGCCGGGATTGATGGGATAAAGATAGAAATGTTAAAAGCAGGTGGGGATATAGTTTTGGAGTGGTTGGTGCAATTATTTAATAAATGTATGGAAGAGGGTAAGGTACCTAGGGATTGGCAGAGAGCATGCATAGTTCCTTTGTATAAAGGCAAAGGGGATAAAAGAGAGTGCAAAAATTATAGGGGATAAGTCTGTTGAGTGTACCTGGTAAAGTGTATGGTAGAGTTATAATTGAAAGAATTAAGAGTAAGACGGAGAATAGGATAGCAGATGAACAAGGAGGCTTTAGGAAAGGTAGGGGTGTGTGGACCAGGTGTTTACAGTGAAACATATAAGTGAACAGTATTTAGATAAGGCTAAAGAGGTCTTTGTGGCATTTATGGATTTGGAAAAGGCGTATGACAGGGTGGATAGGGGGGCAATGTGGCAGATGTTGCAAGTGTATGGTGTAGGAGGTAGGTTACTGAAAGCAGTGAAGAGTTTTTACGAGGATAGTGAGGCTCAAGTTAGAGTATGTAGGAAAGAGGGGAATTTTTTTCCCAGTAAAAGTAGGCCTTAGACAAGGATGTGTGATGTCACCGTGGTTGTTTAATATATTTATAGATGGGGTTGTAAGAGAAGTAAATGCGAGGGTCTTGGCAAGAGGCGTGGAGTTAAAAGATAAAGAATCACACACAAAGTGGGAGTTGTCACAGCTGCTCTTTGCTGATGACACTGTGCTCTTGGGAGATTCTGAAGAGAAGTTGCAGAGATTGGTGGATGAATTTGGTAGGGTGTGCAAAAGAAGAAATTAAAGGTGAATACAGGAAAGAGTAAGGTTATGAGGATAACAAAAAGATTAGGTGATGAAAGATTGAATATCAGATTGGAGGGAGAGAGTATGGAGGAGGTGAACGTATTCAGATATTTGGGAGTGGACGTGTCAGCGGATGGGTCTATGAAAGATGAGGTGAATCATAGAATTGATGAGGGAAAAAGAGTGAGTGGTGCACTTAGGAGTCTGTGGAGACAAAGAACTTTGTCCTTGGAGGCAAAGAGGGGAATGTATGAGAGTATAGTTTTACCAACGCTCTTATATGGGTGTGAAGCGTGGGTGATGAATGTTGCAGCGAGGAGAAGGCTGGGGGCAGTGGAGATGTCATGTCTGAGGGCAATGTGTGGTGTGAATATAATGCAGAGAATTCGTAGTTTGGAAGTTAGGAGGAGGTGGCGGGATTACCAAAACTGTTGTCCAGAGGGCTGAGGAAGGGTTGTTGAGGTGGTTCGGACATGTAGAGAGAATGGAGCGAAACAGAATGACTTCAAGAGTGTATCAGTCTGTAGTGGAAGGAAGGCGGGGTAGGGGTCGGCCTAGGAAAGGTTGGAGGGAGGGGGTAAAGGAGGTTTTGTGTGGCGAGGGGCTTGGACTTCCAGCAGGCATGCGTGAGCGTGTTTGATAGGAGTGAATGGAGACAAATGGTTTTTAATACTTGACGTGCTGTTGGAGTGTGAGCAAAGTAACATTTATGAAGGGATTCAGGGAAACCGGCAGG